GCTACTAGTATATGTCCGTGTTAAAACACACGAAAGGACTCTAAAGCACACTTCACTCTGATTGGGCAGAAAAACACAAAGATTTTCTGGCACCAATCAGATGGCAGAACGACTGCGACCGTTTGGAACTAGTCTTGTGAGACAATGTCCCCAGGGGCTCTTCATGCCCTAACTTGAAATCGACCCACAGCCCCTGGGTCTCCGAGGATGCATATACCTCAACCTTATACTTATTTATTACCACATGAAATGTCAATTAATTAGCATAATCACGCAACGCAATATTTGCCTGGCTGGTTTTGATAGTCGCAGGAAAAGGTTAAGTTTGCCGTTAAAGTCCGTTGAGGACTCTAACAACGTAAAATTTCTAGGGATGGTAGCAAATTTTCAGAAAGGAGGGCCTGTTGATTGCTTTCCGTGTGCTAAACCTGACTGCAAAAAATTCTTGCAAAAGGTTGTTTTGTAAATAACACCATAACATACATGTATTTCAACTTGTTTGTGTGTCCTCTTAAGCTATACAGTATGTCTGCAGTGACTAGAATGCCAAGTTGGATTCTTCGATTTTGATCTTCTCCACTCTGTACGTGATTCTAGACCTGATTCAAGGAAAATTATCCACGAAGTGCCTTCCGATCGCTTTTGCCTACTTTGTAAGTCATGCAAGCGTTTCGACTGATCATGTCTATGCAACGTTTTAGGACAACTCGTGATTTATTTTCTACCCAATGTAATTGTTATGAAGACCTCAAATACTTTGCGTAGAAGATAAACAAACGAAGTTCGAACGGTGAAAGACATATCTTGGTCATTTTTCAGAATTATGCAAATGAGCTTTGACGCGTGCGTGATTAAGTAAAGAAATTGATTAGTGCTGTTTTCAAGATGATGGTGGAAGAAAGCTGGAGAGATAACCGCAGGTTTGAGGCAATCGGTGACCTCATTGGTGTATAAACTATCCTCCATTATGTTTTTTTTAGCCCGATTTACGCCTGCATTTTGAGAATTCTTTCAA